GCCCCGCCCCGCCGCGCAGGCCCCGCCCCTGGCGGAGGGGATCGGGTGCGCAGCCCCTGCTGGCGGGCAGGGCTCCCCCGGTTTCTCTCAAGGGGTCGCCAAGAACCTTTGCCCTAGGCCCGCAGAAACTGCGGTGGAGTGTGCGTGCCGGTTGTTACCCGAGGGCTCAGATTCCCGGGTGGCTGGTGGAAGGTTTCAGGTTGAGAATCCTGTGACCTTGTGTTTACACCGTCTGGTCTATGCTAGCAGCCCTCACGTGCGTGGGAGGGCCCCGCACCCCAGGGGAAATGGCTAGTGCTCTTGTATCCGCAAGACCTTGCTCTACATGAGGATACATTTGCAAATCGCAGGAAACACCCCAGCAGCGATTTTGGTGGCTTGTCTCCAAATTTACTTTTTAATGCAGTATCCAAATGCCGCACTGTAATTTGCCTTGTATATTCAGATTTATCCCCCCCCCCATCCCAATACCCTGTCATTTAATCAAGCTTCTTTAAAAGCTATTTAAGCTAACGCTACACTTTTTCAGATATAAGCATTACCGGGCTAGTACATTTGTCAGACCAAGTTAGAGGTTAGGAAAACAATTATTTTTCTCTTATACTCTGCTTTGATTCACTGTGTGTCGACTTTTTCTCTTCATTTGGAATACCCAGAATTTACTTCTTTTTTTAACATTTATTTTTTGTTTTTATTTATATATATAAGAAATGGGGTATAGTCCGGGAGGGGAGGAGGTGGCATGTGTGAGAGGATTCAGCAGAGACACAGTGGGGAGCAGAACAGACAGACCCACTGAAATACACTGCTGTATTGAGGGGGGCAGCAGGCTAGACAGGTTGCTGCGCCATGTGGTTCAGAATCCTGGCCGGGATCGAACCTGGCGCTGCAGCAGCTGTCGACAGCTTCATGGTGCTGAGACTTAAGTGCCACCATTGGAGGCCCAATTTATTTTCTCTTGTTTCTTAGTCACCTCTTAGTGGAGACAGGGTAAGGAATTCATCTTATTACCAGTAGCATTTAAACCATTTTTGAATTTTAAAAATCATAACTACATTCTGGTTCATGGATCTTCAAAGAAAGCAGAGAAGATAGTTCTAAGATGCAGGAACATTTTTTAAAAACACTCTTGCTAATGTGTGAAGGTAATTCCTGAATATTGTCAAGTATTTTGAAAGGTATCTTAAATTATTAACTATTAAAATTCAATTTTGCTTGCTTGGCAGTTAGCCAGCATGCTTCCAGCTTTCCAAGGTCATAGTTGTATAGAATCAATACATCAGCTTTTATAATATTGTTTGCTTATTCCGTTGTACTCTAAGAAACAACTGTTTGAAATGGGCACTTTGCAAATCATAATACTGCAACTCAGAGCAGTAGCTTGCCTGAAAAATATGGAGGTGGTGAAGCTACGCTTTGCATTTAAATAAATCTGATCTCTCAATTGTGTTCTTCCTCACACAGACTAGTGAAACCATTAAACCATTATTTTGCTTGATAATAAGCTATTATTCTTTCCTGAGATTTTTTTTCTTCCTTCTTTTGGTCTTCTATAAAAGGAAACTGTTCTTTTATTCTTTTTGAGGTCAGTGAAAGGTATCTAGTGAGAGAGTATAAGAAAATCTACATCTTGACTTAAAATATTTCTAATTTCAGATGGTACAACATCTTTAGAAAACACCAAGTTTAGGTTGTGTTTTAGCTCTTTAAATAAAATAACCTGTTAATAATGCTAGAGCATAATATACTACCCTTGTGTAATATTGGTATTTTGATTTGAAATTCTGCATGTTTATGAACAGGTGTATTGCAGTAACCTCATTTTCTTTGTGGATATCAGGGTTTACAAAAGGTGTAAATTTGGACAGATAGGAAGACTGATATTTTGTGAACTTGTAAAACTAGTCATTGGTCTTTTACATTCTAAAAAAAGGAACATTATTGATCACCTGTGCAAATATATGTTATTTGGTTTATGAATGAGCATCTACAAAATGGGTGTTATTTTACATCACCTAACAGTTAATCCCCAAAACCATTGTAACATTTATTACACACCAGCAAAGTGTTAGATGCTTTAACTCCCAGACGTCAGTGTAGTCACTGCGATAACTGTCAAGCACAGTCCAGTAGAAGTTTTCCACAATACTGGAAACATTCTTTTTCTACTATATGATAGTAACTACAATCCTCTGGCTTTTGAACATTTGAAATATGGCTAGGACAACTGAGGAACCAAAATTTTAAATTTTATTTCATTTTAATCAGTTAAAATTTTTATTTAAATAGCCATATGTCACTATGGCTCCTGTAGCATACAGTGTAGCATTTGTAGGTGTCATTATTGCTTTTCAAAGGAGAAACTACTTCAGATAAGTGCCTGAAGCTTGTCCAACTTCTCATAGCTTTACAGTTTTTTGAGCAAAATAATATTTTAGGGTTAAGGCACAGTAAATTATGAAGCTCTCCAAAGCCACTGCAGCACCCCACCAGAGAGCTGACCCACCCACCAGGGAGCTGACCCACATGGTGAAGCAGACCTCTCCTGACCCACCCACTGCTCCCCTCAGCAGTGCATTTCAGTAGATCTGCCTGTTCTGCTCCCCACTCTGTCTCTGGTTAGTCCTCTCCTCACCCCTGCACCTCTGGCCTGTACCCCAGTTCTGTAAGCATAAAATAATCTTTAAAAAATATATTTTAGGAATGTTAATTTGTGGTGTATAATGAATAAATTGACAAAAGCAGATAAGTGGTTATAGTGGGACCTAAGAGGAAGAACAGTTGCAAATGACTGGAGACAGGCTTGTGCCACTTGGTGACAACGTGGGGGCTACGGAAGAGAGAACCTACGTGTACGCTGAGGTGTAAGAATTAGATAACCTGGAGAAATGATGGTGACTATTAACTGAAATAGAAAAATCATGCACCTTTTTGATGTTTAAGAGGATTTGGTTTTGATTATTTCATTCAAAAATATTTATTGACTGATCATTCTGAATAAGGCCCTGTGCTATGCTGAGGTCGAGAAGTGTACTCGCTCATCAAGGATTTTAACCACTTAAGACACCCTCTTAAATTTTTATGCAGGCAGAAGGTAATAAGCTGTAAGAGATGTACAATTGAAGTGTTCTCAGAGGAAGGGATACTTAATGCGTGATGGAAAGGGATTAGGGCAAGCTGTGAATGGAGGGTGATATTTGAGCTTGTTTTGAAGAAATAGGAAAGATTTAGTCAAGCTGAAACAATTAAAGGGAGGGAGGCCAGTCTTTTGCAATGGAATGGACAAAATGTTTTAAAAATCCCTTTTACCAAAACAGCTAAAAGCTGAATATCTTGGTCTCTTACATATATTGCAAGTCTTGCGTAGTAGGAAAGACAGGAAGATCTCCAAGTTTGAAAGTCAGTGAAATCTGATGTTAGAGTAGTAAAGTGGCAGTGTGTCTTCCTTTGGGCATTTGGCCGATAGAACTGCTAGTGCATGACTATGGGGTACCCCGGGACCCCACACCCACCCGTTAGGAATTGCATACTGTAAAATGGTCTGGCCACCAGCACATCCAAGGGCAAAGGAAGCACACTCTTAGTGTGAACTATGTTTAATAGAATTGGTGTGCAGCGTGCGCTGGGGGAGGGTCGGGAGGGAGAGGATTCCAAATAATATCCCAACAAAATTTCCCAAATTACCCAGCCCCTTACAGAAAAATGCCCCACAAAACGGGCCCAGCCTGAAGTAGGGCCACTGAGGCCCAAAAGCTTGCCAGAGGTCTCAGGTACCCTCTGGCTGGGAATCACCAGGCAAGGGCCAGGCAGTCCCAGAGAGCTGGGGCAGGAGGAGGACGCATAATCACCACATAATTCACCTCAAGTCAAGATAACGGCTGCCACTATCCCTGCCAAGATCCAGGAGCAGCCTCTCTTCACTTACCTCACCTGGCTGTCTCTTCCAGGTGTCTCTCCACACCTTCTTTTTGCCCACCTTGCTTTTTCGCAGCTTGCCCCCCCATTCAGGAAGTTTGGTTCATAACCTGCTGGGAGGTGTAGTCCAAAGCATTGTATGTAAGTGGTGATGGGGAAAATGACACCAGTTCCCTGCATCTCCCCAGGAATAAAGCATAATTAGGGGCAGATGCTAGCTAGGCTGCTCCTGCTGACCACCCAGTGTAACAGTGGCAGAGTTTGTGCCCTTTGACCTCTCGGAGCACAATCAGGACACACCATCCACATGGTAGTTTGTATAAATGAGGCCTGTGTTTCAGGGGATGATTTTTTCATAAAAAATAAAATTCAGGTAATTTCCACTTGAATTTGTACAACTCATGGCCTTGGAGAAACACTGCCCTGCAATTAAACCAAGGCCCTCAAAAAAAAAAATCTATACACTTAGGCTAGGAAAAAAGAAAAGAAAAACACCTCTCTCCTGGGAAATGGAGATCACAAAGAAATTTGTTCATTTTCACCACAGCTCCATGCAGGGGAATTAGATAGCACCTGGGGGCTTGTACTCTAGGATCTACCATCGTTTTGAGAGTGAAGCTTCAAATTTACTTCTCTTATTTTTATTGTTAAAAAATCCTACAAACTAAGAAATAAAAGTTTGCCCAGGTTGTTTGCGTGCCAGAGTGCCTGACCAAAATAAACAGACTCTCCCGAAAACGATGAGCCGTTGACCAAGCCTTTTAGGACGCTAATGGATTAAGATCATGTAAATATGAGGCCACAGTCAGAAACCATGAAACACATCTGCAGGTGTCAACAGGATGTACATGGGGAACTAGAAGACTTTAGGTTGGATTCTCAGAAACAAATTAGTCATGTTTAAAGAGATGAAAGATGAAAAGTTAAAGATTTTAAAATAATTGAAAATTCATTAAAAGTCAGAATGATCAGGAGTTTGGCAAGGAATTGTCATGATCAACTAAATGGAAGAAGAAAAAAGTGTTGATGGGATGTTGTAGACTGACCAAAGAAAATGGACAGAAAGAAGAGATTGTTGACAACTCAGGCAGGAAGTTACTTAAACAAGCCTATAATGGTGACTATAGGAACTAAGGAGAAGCTTATTTAGCAAGATTTGAATGTACATATTTAGCAACAAGTCAGCTGATGAAAAATAATGACATGCACAAGTCAGAAATTGCTGAGATTTACTGTTTGGAAGGTCAGTCTGAGCTAAGGAAGCGGAGCGCATGGGAGGCTTGTGGAGGTAAGAGTTGGGAGATTTTACAAAGTTCTTGGGAAATACATCAGTCTTTCCTATGAGAGGAATGTCTCTGCCAAATATGATTTTCATAGGAACAAATTTCTTATAATTTGAAAGTATTTCTCTATCCTAAAAAATTAAGTGGATGAACATGGATGTTTTTTAATTTGCATTATTGTGAAATGATTGCGAGTCATTATTGTCCTCAGTCCGAACAGTAAGGAGCAGAGTGGTGATGTGTGGGGTGTATATGTGTATTTAGGCCCTTTTTCTTGCCCCCCTCATGTAGGAGCTGGATATGTAATGGTGAACAAGACAGTTGGTTCCTGCCTGCTTCACAGAACTTGAAGTCCAGGAAGGAAGTAAAACTGAACAAGTAAGTAACAGTTAAGTGTGATGAATGCCTTGGCTGCGGAAGCGAGGCCTCAAAGCTGGGCACTCCGCTGAAACCAAAGTTGGGACTTGAAATGTGAGGGGCTGGCTGGTGGAAGTGGGGCGGAGGAGGGGTGGGGTTAGCTGTAGTCTAGCCCTCGCACAGAGCAGTGTGCCTGAAGGACGAAGGTGGGCAAGACAGCATGACACACTGGTTTGGCTAGGGTGGCACTGCCGACTGGGAGTCCTTTCTCCCAGTTCCAGCCCTATGACCTTGGGCTGTTTTTTACCCTCCGTAATTCTCTTCAGAGGAGTAAATGAAATCACATACTCAGGGTGCTTAGTAACATTGCTGACAGGATATAAGCACTGTGTTTGCTCTTATAATGATAAAGAGGCCGCTACCTAGAGCCAAGAATTAGGAACAGAACGGCCAGGGATGAACATAGAAAGATCAGCAGAGACTAGACGATGCAAGGACCTTATAGACTGTGTGAAGCAGGAAGACAACTTGTTAGAGCATAGGGGAGTCTTCATAGGTACTAGCAGTCAGATAGTTATTTTAGAGCCAGGAGGGTCACTCTGGTTTAGAGTGGAGTCTGGATTGGCTGTGGTCCAGAGGAGAGGCAGGCCATTTGGAAGGCTGTAATCACAACGTGGCCATGAGGTGGTGGTGGTTCCGGTAGGCAGTGCCGGGACAATGGGCAGGCGGGTGGATGTGAAGGAAGTTTAGGAGGTGGAATACACAGTGCTTGGTACTTGACTATGTGTGGGAAGATGAGGAAGAAAGAGTTCTGACTGTGGCAAGTTAGCGAGTTTTGGTTCCACTTAGTGAGAAGGGAAGTCGATGCTGTGTGGGATGATTTCTGAAACTTGGCGATCAGTAGAAGGTTGTGGCTGTGGCTAAAGTAGAATGGGTGAGCCTCTGTGAAGAAATGTTTTTAAGTTATCTTTTTCTGCTTCAGAAGACCTGTTTGAGATGTGGTGGTTTCAGCAAGGCCTCAGTTTCCTCCCTTCAGCCCTTGTAATCTGGACGGCTGCTGCTTTCATGTTTTCTTACATCACTGCCGTTGTCCTCCACCACGTTGATCCTGCTTTGCCTTATATCAGGTCAGTGCGATGTCTTCTTTTATGGGACACAGTCTTTATGTCTTATTCATATTTTAACATTGAAGCCAACTTTTAATGTTAACAGTTTTAAATTCAAATTTTATCCTTGGCATTATGGAGTGCCTTGTCTTCCGAATCAGTATTTGAGGTCTCAGAGGACAGCGTTGAAATTATCCTCTCCTTAAAGTTCAAAACATCTACAAACAACAATAATGATAATAAAAGGTAATGAGAATCTTACTGATCTGCTTACTGTGTACAAGGTCATGTGCTAAGCATTCCACAGGCCTTAAATAATCTGAAGTAGAAATGAGATCGAGAGATTGAACTTTTTCAGTGGCAGCAAAAGTGATGGGTCCAAGATTCATTTGGTCATTTAGTTTCATGCTAAAGACTATGCTCTTACTCTTGGTGACTTGTCTAGATCTTCCTGTCACATTATCAAATTTATTGGTAATATTGAGATTTCAAAATTACTAATAATGTGTAAGTATAGCTACTCCACTGTGTTCTACACCTATAGCCTTCTTAAAAAAAAGTTATAAAGGCAGTTGTGCTTATAAGACTTTAAACACTCCTAGAGTGTTAGAAAAATAGAAAGTGAAACTTTCTTCCAGCCCACGTCAGCTCCTGGCCCCTCTCCTGGAGGTGACTCATGGTTTGGTTCACTCCAGTATTTGGTTTGGTTTGTCATCCTGTGTGTATGAAACTCTTTTCTTTCCCTCCTTGCTTCTTGCTTTCAGTGTTTTGGGAGGGAGGGGGAATTTTGATTTTGTCTGCTTCATTTATAAAAAGTGATAAACCTTGTCACTAAACATATTGCTTGTTTGCTTTTCCTTTCCAGTGCTGAATGATGACTCTGTAGTGAATGACTTTACACACTTGTGCTGATATGTAGACTCGGTAGATTCCCAGAGGTGGATTGACAGATGGGTATAATGCATCAGCAATTTTCGACTCTGTCAACTATCCCTGTGTAATACTCTAAAGGTATTATATCAGTTTTGGGCACACAGGAATATGAAAAAATTCCAATCATGAATAGTTACTGCAACTTTTATATAAAAGTTTAAAAAGAATTAAATAGGGAGGGAATAAAGAGAAAGTAATTATTGAAATACCAGTGTTCTAACCTAACTCTGTCGGTTTCAGACTGGATATGATCAAACTAAAAAAAAAAGGTTCTGCTTGTATATGATGCTTTTTTTTTCCCCCTTAAAGATTTACTTATTTATGTATTCAAGAGCTGGAGTGTTGGGGTAAGAGGAATCACCATAGACAGAGTGGGGAGCAAACTGGGCGGATTGGCTGCAATATACTGCTAAGGGGAGCAGTGGGCTAGACAGAGTTTTGCTGGACCATGTGGGTCAGCTCCCTGGCTGGGGATCGAACTCATGCTGTGGTGGCTGCAGATAGCTTCATAGTGGTGAGACTTAACACCTTGTGCCACCAGGGAGGCCCTATATCATGCCTTTAAAACATTTCTCCATGGAGATGGCAAATGATACTATTTAAAAAAGTAAAAATTGTTATAGTTGTCTCATTTATTTGCTTGCTTACCTTCTAAAAAATAACCTTTCCAACACAGGACATTGTAAACTTTTAAAGGATGATAAACTAGGAAGTTAAATTTCTCTTTTGGAAATGTTAAGTTCAGAGCATTACACTCTCCTCCATCCGTCTCCATTTGCTGTAGTGTGACACAAAGAATATAAAAACTTTTAGCAAGATTTACAGAATCCAAAGGTAGTTTAGAATTTAAGGTGTTAATTCTAGGAATACCATAATGAATAGTCTCACTGTTCAGCAGCGTGCTAAATCAACATGTAGCTCAAGGAGCCAGTTCATTTTTCAGTAGCTCCGAGAGGCTACTAAAGAGATTCGCAAGGGTACTTCAGCCTTTTTATTTCCCCTTCAGAGAACTTCTGTGCTTACGTTTTAAAGAGTTTTTAATAATTTAAGAGGCCATTGAGTTCTTATTCAGAGTTTCAGTTCTCTCTTGGTTCTGTATGTGACTTTCTGATAGTGCTCAAAACTGGTCCGTTTCTGTTCCTGTCCTCTGCCTTACTTTCCTGCTAATGAGCTTAGTATTATTCTGGGATCTTTCTCCAACACTGTAATATATTTAATCTCAGTGGTACTGTTTTTTCTCACCTTTTTCTAAGGCTCATTTCCTTCATCTGGGAAAATGATTAAGTTAAACGAGGTATTTGCAAGCTTCCTCTTAGCTCATAGGCCTGCTCCAGAGGACATAACCAGATGGAAGCTCACTCAAAGACAACTGCATAACAGTGCAGTTCTGTTTCAGGGGTCCTCTTAGTTGGTGCTGCACTGGCTAAGCCAATACAGCCAAGTTGACTGTGTGAGAGGAGCCGCGGGGTATGTGAATGTGTGGTAAGAACATCTCTGTGTAGCTGTAAATCTCAATTTTTATACTTTTTAGAAATATACTTTTTAGAATAAAATATGATTGCATCTGTTTTGAGGTTGTATGGTGAGACCTTTTCATAGTGTGTGATCAGAACAGCGTGGTGACCCCTGAGTTGAAGCGCTCTGTTTATATGGTGGTGGGTGTGGGCCGTTTGACCTGTCCTTACTGGAGCAGGCACACTCAGAGCCAGCCTGCTGGAAAGTGTGTGCTTTGTGGACTGACAGCATTATCCTAAATAGGAGCATCTTTTGGATTATGTCTGTTAAAGTGGTGTTTTTTAAATCTAATCATGAGGAAACCCACTGCACTGTAGAAAACTTGAAAGGTAGCAGGAGTAATGACAAAACCCAGTAAGGCCCACTCCCAGAAGATGAGCTGAGGAACCACATCTTCCATATCGAAGATATATTTGAGGACCAGGAGGAGCCACCTCTCAGTGCCTGTTTGCTTGAATGTCCCGTTTACTCCGAGTGTCCACCAAACCAAGAGATTTCTCACAAGACATGCAGGCCTGTTCTTGTTATGTTAGCTTAGTTGAGAGCTTCATCTCTTTCCATAGTACTTCAGTCGAAGGTCAAAAACTCCCTCCTTTTAGTTTTCATAGTAGTTTCAGGAGAGGGAAATGAACGAGCACGTGCTGGGTGTCGCCCATGCTAATTACTTCATTCACTTCAGCACATGTTTTATTTCATCACATTGATCCAGTGAGACTGGAAGAGAAGGAACAGCTTCAAGTTGCAGAGGAGGAAACAGTCTTAGGGAAATAACCCACCCATGATTCCATTAGCAGATGCTGGGCTGAATCTGCATCTCTTTATCCACATTAGCCTGAAAGAGCTGTAGAAGCAGGTTATTACAGTGCAGAACAGTAAGTGATTCTGACAGGGGCCAGGACAGGAGGCTGTGAGTCAGTGCTCTGCTGAGGGGTGACCAGTGCTCAAAACGGGTCTTGACTAGAAGCTACAGGAAGGCAAGGACTTGTCTCACGCACCACACTATTCATGTCCTTAAAAGATGATCTGGCATGTGGAAGTGCTTGGTAAATATTTTTAACTAATTAGGAAATGATTAGGTGTTTATTGAATTACAGGCAGAATCAACAACAGATGCCAAAAGACTGAGTTGTGCAAGAAGGACCTGTGGTATTCAGGAAATACTTAGGGGAGACAGATGAACACACCTGTCTGACAGATACGACAGCAACTCAGACTTGCTAGGTTGAGCATAGTTTCTATTTTAAAAAATCAGTTTATACTGATTTCCACTAGATAAAAAAAAAATCTTAAGTGATGTGAGAAATAAGTGAGTAAGGTTAATATTGCGAGTGCCAATTGTTGTGTTCTACTAAAATTAGTTGAGGGTTGACTTCATGGACTTATGAAAAAAAACAGGATTTGAAGAAACCCGTTGTTTCTGTCCCCAGTAAGAAAGATAAATGTGTTTCTGGTGTGACAAACCTTCTTCTTTTCTTTCAGTGACACTGGTACAGTGGCTCCAGAAAAATGCTTGTTTGGGGCAATGTTAAATGTTGCTGCAGTTTTATGTAAGTAATGGGGTTTTAACCATCAAAATTGATAGCTAAATTACCTTTTTTTTCTTTTAAACCCTGATATGTAGCTTTTTTTACTTCCTAGTTCGGCATGAGGGAATGTTATCACTAAATTGTTGATTGCAAATATACTCCTTTTAGAAAAGCCCATTTCTATAAATGTGTAATTGTGGAGGGAACCTTAAAATGTCTACAAGCCTATTTGACTCATCCAACTAGAACCTGTAAAGTACAGCCAAGGCTTCCTCGAGGCCTGAACCAGTCGAGGACAAAGAGCTGTAGACTTTTTGACCACAACTAATCCCAGCTGAAGTCCTTTAGGACTTTAACAGTATTCTAGGGCCAAAGTTTTACAGTATTCTAGGGCCAAATTTTTACATTCCTGCTCCTTATTTACCTTTTGAGCTAAGCTTTTATTAATAGTACTAAAATACTACCTTTTCATTACCTGTGATTATTTGATTATTTTAAACATTCGCAGTCTTCTGTAAGTGTCACTTGGTGAGGTATCAGTTTGGAGTCAGTTTCCCATTTGACTATCGCATTTTTCCTGTTTATAGGTTTTAGTGGCTATGCTTGTGGGATAGATTAAAATTGCCATGATCTGAAGAGGAAGGACTTATACATGTCCTTCTCCTATATGAAATGGCTGAACAAGAGAAAGAAAGGAAGTCAGGAAAATGACTCAATATACAAGTTTATCTTATGACCCAACTCTTGGAAAATATGTCTACAAAAGCAGATTTCTATTATGTTTTCTATATTTCTGCATTCTTTGATAGTATTTTTGTGACGGGAAATTTGGTCCTTTCTTCACTAATAAGGATGGCAAAGTGAGCCTCTTTTCTGTGTCATTGACTGCTCTATCTGATTGGGCCAACTTGAAGTAATTTGAAATGAAATGATGCAAGAGTGAGGCAGATAATCTTATGGCATTTGTTTGCTTATGCCCATCTCACTCATAATTAGAAATAATTATTTTAGACTTTGAAGCTAATCATGTGGAACTTTTTGTGTTTACACAAAATCATTTCTAATGATTTTCAGAAAACACGAAATTTATCTGTTATGTTTTGACCTAAGTATTTGTAAAGATGAGGGCCATGGAAGGCAAATGCCGCAGGTAATCACACAGTGTCAGTTGCTGCATAAGGCAGCCTTGAACTTTTTTACAATCTATAGCTTTTTTTTGTTTTGTTTAAAGGTTAACTTCAATCAAATCAGTGACCTTTGTGAAACCTTTATTAGTCACTTTCTTGGTTATTTATTGCATTGCTGCTTCTCAATGATCTCTTCCCAGGCATTGCTACCATTTATGTCCGCTACAAGCAAGTCCACGCTCTGAGTCCTGAAGAGAATCGTATCATCAGACTAAACAAGGCTGGCCTTGTGATCGGATGGCTGAGCTGTCTAGGGCTCACTTTGGTGGCCAACTTCCAGGTCTGTATTTTAGGCCAGCACAGGTATTTACTGAGGGACATAAATGCGCACATTACAAAAGGAAACCTGAATCATCCAGTGACATGTTACTGTTCCTTTACCTTAACAAGTTGACCCTGCTGTCTTTTAAATTGATTTGTTTTTCTTAGAAACAGCTTCATTCACAGTCAGAATAACTATTTCTCAATAATCTTTTTTTTTTTTTAAAGATTTATTTATTTATTTATTTATTCGTACAGAACTGGGGTAAGGCCAGAGATGCAGAGTGTGAGAGGATTCACCAGGGACAGAGTGGGGAGCAGAACAGGCAGATCGACGAAGTACACTGCTGAGGGAAGCAGCAGGCGGGTCAGGAGAGGTCTGCCATACCATGTGGATCTCCTCCGGGGCAGGCGGGGATCGAACTCATGTGGAAGTGGCTTAAGCTTCTTAGTGCAGTGTTTTAACCTGCTGCACCACCATGGAGGGTCTCAATAATCTTTTTAACAAATACAAATAATCCTAACTTTTTTTAGGATTCACAGAACAGTTACTAGATTCTTAGTTGGAGATTACTCCAAGGCCAGAGAGAATTGATGTACATAGTGTGACAGAGTACAGATTGAAACTTATTTTTAGTACGCCCAACAAGTTACACTCATTTGCCTGTTTTATATTCTGTTTCAGTGTTGACATTGGTCATCTGCATTCCTTGGTGCCAGACCATTCCTCATATGAGGGAGTTAAGGGAAACCAGTAGCCCTTCCAGCTTTTTCCTCAGGGACTTCTTCATGTTAAATTAGCGATTAATCATCAGTAAATATTTGCAAACTCTACATTCTTTTCTGTTGATATTCTCTCAGATGAGTGTTTGGCAATATTGGCTGTACCCTAAACATTAGTCTCTCTGCCAGCTCTCTAAAGTTTCACTTTAGTTGTTTGACAACATATTTAAACATCTAGAACTATTTCAGCATACAAACATTAACTCATATATAAGCAGGTATATATAAGCAAGAGAGACAGACTGTGACACAGCACAAGTTCACTTTTTACATCCATGCATGCAGAGCAGGGATTTCAGATAAATGGCTTACCTCCCACAGGGACTCCCAGATGCTGCCCATTTGGTGGCTCCGACGTTCCCTAAGTCCTGTTGCCTGCTGTATTCCTCCTGACTGAAACAGTCAAAGAAAAGGCAAAAATAGTGCATCTCCTTAAAAACCTTCACCTGGGACCTCCCTTGTGGCTCAGCGGGTTAAAGCACAGCACTAAGAAGCTAAAGCCACTTCCGCATGAGTTCGATCTTGCCTGCCCCGAGGAGATCCACATGGCGTGGCAGACCTCTCCTGACCCGCCCACTGCTACCCTCAGCAGTGTACTTTGTGACTCACATCATCCAGCTGACAGCCATTTCTAGGAGTGGGGGCCAGGGGGTAGTCTCTCTGGGTACCAGCTGCCAGGACAGTGCTATATGATAAAAAAATGTAAAACTTGTGGTGGGAAGCTAGTTGGCTGTCTTTGCCATAAGTAGGACCTTGCCTTCCCTTGTCATCTTCTGTAGTTCAGATAAAAATATCTTGTTTGGAATTTTTAAATTTATGCAAAGTATTTCTTTGCTCCATTGTCCCTGGATTGATTGACCAATTTAACAGCATCTCTTATCACTCTCTGGCAAAAATGAATCCCAGAGTGGCTGCCACCAGTAAATTCCAGCTACAGTTCATCCCTACAGTAGCATCCATGCAAGCTGCCTTTTTACCCTTTTTCTCCTTTAACTGCTAAGAGAGTTTATATCTAACGAATCAGCTTTTATTCTGTTTCACCTTCACCACAGGAGTTCTTGCCTTGTAATTGTGAATCAAGTTACTTTTTCTCTGTGGGTTATGAACTGTAGAAATGACCCTTGAAAGTGTAGTCTTTCTGGATCACGTAATCATGAATCTGCTGAGTGTCTCGACATGTCTCCCTGTTGGCTGCATTGCTGTTTATAGCCAGATCTGTTAGCAGTACCCACATAGCGAGCACTTCCAGTGAAAGTAAGCTTTCCCTGTGTCTTTGCAGTAGAGTCCATTGCCCACTCCTTTTTCCTCTTCTCCTTTACAGAGACAAACTGTAGTGGATTCATTTGGGAAAAGGTTTGTATGCTTGGTCCATCAGTGGCTTACAGCTATATAGCTGGAGTTGGAAGAGAGGCTAACGCTGTGTTTTAAAGTTGGAACTTGATGGTTTCACCTCTTCAGTAATTCTTGAAAGCATCTGCTGCTCCATTTCTACCTCCACTTCTTTCTTACCAATCTTCCTTACCAATTTAGATTTCATGTCTCAGATGAACTACTGCCAGTCTCCTTAATGGTTCCTCTGAATTTATTCTTGCATTTAATTTAACATTGCAGCCAAAATTATCTTTTGAAAATATACATTCCACTGTACCCCTTTGTAAAATTCTACAGGTCCAAAGTTGTTTGAATAGAGATCTAATCGTGCAAGAGAGGGTAATTTGATAAACTGCCAAGCTGCTCAATTAACTCAAACGTCTTATGTAATCTGGCTCCTGTCTAGCTCTCCTGCCTTGTTCTGTATCATTCTCTTTGTTAATGTGTCTGTTGTACATTTCTTTGTTCCTTAATAAGACAGCTTTATAAAACTCCATTTCATGCTTTCCTGTTGACTGTCTACGGGGCCAAGCCTAAATAGGTTTAGGCATGGTTAAGGTCTCAGTACAGACTCTACTTGTTCGGGAAAACCTGTTTGCTCCAACATTATTTCAAGTATTCTTCCTCTGTAAAACTAATTCTCTATAGCACTGATGATAATTTTATATCTGTGGTTTATTTAAAAAGTTTTACTTGATATACTTCTCATTAATTTTATTATTTTCTCATCTGGTCCATTATACTCCTGCTATGAGCGAACCATCCGGTATTTTTCTTTCTCTTTCTGGCTTATCTCACTAAGCATGATCTTTTCCAGCTCCATCCAAGTTGCTGCAAAAGACATGTGTTTCTCTTTTCTGGTTGCTGAGTAATATTCCATTGTATATATGTGCCACATCTGTTTAATCCAGTCATCTACTTTTCTCATTAATTTTAAGAACGGTGATGCTGTTCATAATTGTATCTCCTAGAGCTAACATACTTAGCATGAACATGTCTTATTAAATATTGAGGAACTTACTGAGAAAGACAAGAACTAAACAGGCCGGAAAAAAAAAATATTCTCTTGCTATTACGGTGCTTATTTGCCTTGAAAAACATACTAAATAGTTATAAAATGGTTGTGTTCCCGTAGAACAGCGCCTGATATATATAAGGTTCCCAAATAAGAATATTAGACGAGTAAGTGAATTACTATCATAGTTTTAGTAAGTACCTGTGAGATCATTTAATTTTACTGTCATGCTCAGGACAGTCTGAGTATGAGAAAGAAGAGAGAAGAGAATCCATTAGTGGACTCTCAGAGTGCTTCTGCTAGCGATGTCCTATTTAAAATCTCTGGTTTATGCTACTAGGGTGTTGGCAATGTGTTTTGAGCTGCTGTTATTTACTAATTTCTTCTTTCTACTCCTCAGAAAACCACCATTTTTGTTGTCCACGTCTGTGGCAGTGTGCTCACCTTTGGGATGGGCTCATTCTATATGTTTGTTCAGACTGCCCTTTCCTACCATATGCAGCCCAAAATTCACAGCAAGCAAGTCTTCTGGGTTAGACTGCTGATGTCTGTCTGGTGTGGAGTAAGTGCATTTAGCAGTATCCTTTGTTGTAAATTGTGGCTCCACCTGGAAAGGAATTGAATCACAAAATTTAAGTGAACACTGTGGACACATGGTAGCCAAATTGCTGCCATATTATGGCTGAGACTTTTGGATTTGTAACCCCAAATTAAATGATTTGAAACATGAAATTCAAATTTTTACATAGACCTTTAATAACTGAGCTAAAAATAATGTTTAGTCTGATTATACTTGTTTCAAGAAAATGAAGGATGAGGTAAGCCCTCCCTTAGACTATTCTGTAGCTTATGCTAGAACTGCTGATTTACTGAGCACAAAGGGATTGACTATGCAAAGCAGTTCGAGGTAATTCTTCATGCACCTTTTAAGTTCCACAACTTCCATCTGACATCACACCTTTAGGAAATGGGCTTGGACCTTGGCAGCCAGTGTAATCCCTTTGGATCTTCAGGATGATTTTTGTTTAAATCTTGTTGAAACTTGCAGGTAGGTCTTCTCTGAGATTCTTCCTTGACTGGCTGTTTTTATAGTGCTGACTTGCTCCTCACTGTTGTACAGTGGCAATTTTGGCACCGACATAGTACAGAAACTCCATTGGAATCCTGAAGACAAAGTAAGAAAGTCTGTCAAGCTTAGTTTTATATTAAGAATGTGCATTTGGGTCAAGTTTTGATATATTTCATTTTATCCTAACAATGAAAATTTTAGGTGGAATAATCAGTTATATATTAGTATTATTTTCTAAGTAAGACAGGGATTTTGTAGAAATATCCTGTCACTGGTGACCTGTGGGCATTTTCAAGACAGAAAGAGAATTACAATGAGTTTTCACAGAAATTGACTCCTTTTTATGTAACTATTATATACAGTGTACATTAAGATCTTTTATTATTAGAATGCATGTTTTTTGAATTGAAAAGATGGTATCTCCCACTTTATGTTGTGTAGAAGTTTATTATGGACTCTGGTGGGGTTCAGTATAATAGATATAAGTGTGGAGATAGCATCTTTGATTCTGAGAAAATAAGAGGGACGTATACTAAATGGATAATAAAATGAGTTCATTCATTTTCACAAAACACTTAATTGTGATTGGAATTATTTTTAGAGAAGCACCCTTATATAGATAGTTGTGAGAATGAATGAATTGAATAACTTAGTAGATTCTCCTGATTAAAATTTGTACATTAGTGCACTAAAGTATAAGATGTGTTAAGTTTACTATGAACAGTTCACTTAATTTTTTTTAAGGGTATTTTAAGGATGTTTGATGGATCTTGCAACTTTTGAGAAAGGCTAACTCCTTGATTGCAATTGTCCTGTTTGCTTTAGAAGAAACTAAGACAGCTAGATCGCTTAGGAGGCTGTTCATTGTCTGCCTTTAGCAAGATATGTCGAGTAAATCAACAGTTGGTGATCAGAAGTCAACTTAAATAGAACTGTGTTTCTTATTTGCAAGAGATTATAGATCACATGAATGAAGTGTTACAGAATGACCTTTTTCCATTGCTGTTCAGGGTTATGCCCTCCACATAATCACTACTGCGGCCGAGTGGTCTATGTCATTCTCCTTCTTTGGTTTTTTCCTGACTTATATCCGTGATTTTCAGGTAAGAAAACACATTAGATTTATGCAGTCAAACTTCCTTGAGGACTAACAAAGAACTCTTTTCTGTAAGCAAGTCTCCATGTATGGAAACCATCTTCATTGCTTAATTTTACTGCTCCTTCATGGAAACCAAGGAAAAAGCAAGAAACTTCTGAGTAGAGAAGTTGGATTCCTCATTTTATTGGTACGATGGCTATCACTGACAGTAAAGCAGCTGTCTTATCTGTGTTACTCAGAATTGATTTATACCCCTAATCACAGAAGGTAGGCTACAGAACAGATTGAAGATATGACCTGTGTTTACAGAGCCAACTGCTATGTATAATTTTCTTTTTTGTTCTAGAAAATTTCTATACGAGTGGAAGCACACTTGGAAGGATTAACACTCTATGATGCTACTTCCTGCCCTGTTATCAATGAACAAACACGACTGCTTTCCAGAGATTTATGATAGAAGGATAAACTCTGATGATTATGATTCTCAGGGATTGGAGAAACTATCATGAAAGTTATTTATTCTGCTCTGAAATCTTCAACCAAGTATTCATGGCTGACAGTAATAACCACAAATGGTGATATTCAAGAGATGCACAATACGCCATGTAAAGGATGTCATCAAGAGGACCACATAAAAACATGTATCACATAAGCCTGTACTTTTGCTAATTCAGGTAATACCAAAGGATTACAACACTAGGTTTTTTCTACTTTCTGTAAGAGAAACAACCAGCAGCGCACCATCCAGTCTGCAAAACGTAGGCTTTCGTGTAGTAAATCATGGTCAAATATATTTGTTTGGAGCACTTTTATGAGAGACATTTTTCAGGACCCCAGGTTATCAGCATTGCTCCAGTTCCTTTAGAAATGAGAGAAATGCATTCTGAATTAATAGCTTTATATATTAATAACTTTCATATAGCTGTTACACAATTTTTTTTCCTCCTGAACTTCACTTGTGAAGGGAAGCAGACCTGAGCCCATAATAATTGCTTTCATTGCTTAAGCTTTGCACATAAGACTCAGTAAGTATTGACTTGACTCCTGCCATAAGGCTAGACACTACATTAACTCATCTGTTACATGTGCTTGCAATAGTTTCAGGCAGTTTAATCTAACGTGAGTTTTTAATCACTAATTAGAGAAATAGCTGTAGGTGAATTTACTCCAATCATGTTTTGCATAAAACAAGGGTTAGTATTTGTCCCCAAGACTAAGAGGTTTGTAAATAAAAGGATATGTGATTCATGTTCTATAAGTCACTCCAGATTGTAGTCAAAAGTGTCTTAGATTTCATTTACATAAAATTATAATTATTGGTAAACTAGCCTTGAAAATGATTGGCGAGCTTCTCTTCTATGCGGATAAAGGATAGTTTGAAGTTAAAAAGAAAAAAAAAATACTGATCTGGCAGGTACCCAAGGACAAATTGGTTTGTAAAAGAATCTCAGAAGATTAAGATTGGTCTTTTAGAAGAAATAACTCCATAGACCAGAATAAAAGGTGGTAAGAAGACAAGTTAAAAATATGAGGAGCAATTTAAGGGAAAATGTTTACATAGTAGAACCAGAGATCTCAATTATGAATAACTTACTACATGTAAGACTCTATAAATAACATTTCTGAGAACATCTGGACTAATAAGTAAAAATGGGATAAAATACTATTTATGTGTATCAAGAGATCGTGGACATGGGAAACATTCTAATAAACACTAATTGAGATTTGGTGTCACTAGAACCAAACAGATTCAAAAATTATACTTCTGAATGTCATGGTGCATGCTGCTGGAAAACAGCAGAAGGATCACTGTCTGGGCAGAAGGACTTGATAGGATCCAAATTTACAAATTAGAAAAGGTGTAGTGAAGACAGTACAGAGAAGAAGGTGGACTTGCATGTTATACTTAGCATATTCAGCTTAGAAATATATGCTAACACATTAAAATATTTGAAGACAAAAAGTTATATATTCTTGAATTCATTACTTAACTTTTAGAAAGAACAAAGGTGGAAAGATTAGTTGGTTCCAAAGAGATTATAAATAGAAATTTTGATGTGTATTCATCACCTTAAGGCTGAAATAGAAGATAATCACCCCCACTCAAAAATATGCCTTTTATTAACTGATAGAGTTGTTTGGATAAAGAGCTAAGGCTTTTCTCTTTAATTCAGTCACTAATTTTGTGTTGAATGTTAAGCTTTAAGAGGTTCTTAGCTGACACACGGAGACACTTAACTGTTAGTGAAAGTTTGTCTCTTTTGGTCAACAAGTCTACATTTCCCTGCCTTAAATATAAAGATGAGACTGAATCTTAGTCAATGAAATGTAGGTAGCATGGATATACTTGATACTTTCCTATTAAGATTTTGAAAAACAGGAATGCTGCTTCTCTGTTTCCCCACATTTCGCCAATTGGATATTTTAGGAGATGACAGACTCACAGGGGAAGGAGGAGCACAAACAGACCCCTGTTTAATCACATTTTAAAAAGCAAATGAGATAAAATTTAGAAACTCCATTTTTATCCAACCTATTTACTAAGATTGTATTCTGTATAGACCAGTGTTATGTCATACTCAATGAATTTATAAAAGTGAAAGACAGCTTTATTTAGTTCTGTAGTGTTTTGTACAGACTAAAATGAAGCTCAGTAAACGGTTTCTTAGTGTCCTTGTAAATCCATGATGTATACCTTACCTCTTTTTAGCCAGCCAGAATGTTAGTTTTAAAAAGAATATACTGATTTATTGGAAAGGTAAGGCTATAGTGTAGACCTAAGACAAAGGAAAAATCATTTTGGTTATTGTGAATCTTAATATAAGCGACTTATTTGTGAACTGTACCACCAAAGGCATGGTATTTTGAAAGTGTGAATTCAACATGCACAGAAAGATGGCAAAGAGCAGAGAGAATATCTCAGAAACCAGAAAATAATGCTATTCGAATATAGTATAGGGCTCGGCTGAAAAGCACAAAGATTCCCAATCTCTGCTGAAAGGAAATCCTGTGCACTTAAAATAATTGGAGCAGAGAGTGAAGTGAATCAAGTTAAAGGAGCAGCAAAGCTCATTTCATCTCAACTACAGACTAGCACTGGTCCTTGCAATCTGGAAGTATACTGAAGAAAGGGATCTCTTTTCCCTGAAGGTAACTTTATTTTCATGCCTTCCATTTTCTAAAAATATCCAGCAAGAAGAAAAAAAAAGCCAAGTGATGCAAAACAGCAGAAAAATGACCCAGAGATAATCATCAGAGGCATAGTCAGAGATTGTCCAGATGTTGCAGTTATCAGCGGTAGGTAACTATGATAAAAATGCTGAAGGAGCTAACGAAAAGAGTACAAAACAGTCATAAAGAGATGGAGGATTTCAAGAGACATGCAAACTGAAAAGCAAAATTCTGGATTGTGATATGATCACAATCAATAAACTTGAAGATGGCAATTGCAAGAATACAAGTGAAAAGCAAGGATTTGAGAAAAAGTGAGTATTCCCAAAGTTGTTGGGAATTAACAGAAAATGAAAATCAGAAGTGTTTGTAAATGATGAAGTTAATAGAAAGCTGGTAAGATTAATCCACTTGTATCAATAGTAATCCCCAAGAAGTCCTGTTCACCCACAATTTAAGGATATGGCCATATTTGGAAAGAGTGTTTGCAGATGTAGTTAGATAAAGTGAGGTCATACTAAGTTAAGATGAGCCCTAAAATCCTCTGACTGGTATTAGAAGAAGGCCATATGAAGACAGGAATAGGTTGGAGCAAATCAGCTATAAGTGAAACATTGCCGAAAACCAGAAACTGGGTAAAAGCAAGGGAGGATCCTACACTTCAGCTTTTACCGGGAGACCAGCATGAGCCTAGTAACAAAAATTGACAAATAAGAGAAAAATAGAGCAAAGACTAATAGCCTTTATAGATCGTGAATACAAGAATACTTAAGATAGAAGATAACAGAAATTTAGCAATGTTAAAAAAAAATGATATGATCAAGTGGGCTTTATGATAAAAATTCCCAGTAAAACAAATGGAGGAGAATCTTCTCATTTGATAAAGAATGTCTTCGAAAACCTAACAGAAATATACTTAATGGTTTTATACTAATACCTTTTCTCTGGTATTGGACATGAGGCAAAGATAGCTTTTCTTAGTCCTTGTGTTCAACAATCCAGTAGGAGTCCTAGTTCATAAGTTAGGTTGAGGACCGTAAGTTAGGAAAAAGGCAAAGTGTGGTTTTACAAATATGGGCTTTGAGAATTTCAAAACTAATTATGGACTAATAAGTGAATTTAGCAAGGTCACAGGATAAAAGGTCAATAAAAATGATGAAAACAAATAATGTAAAAGCACAATAGCATGAACCATCATATATGTAGGAACAAATCTAATGACAGTAGAATTTACAGAATTTTAAAATGAATGGGGTAGTATAATGTGTATTGGAATACTCAGGATGCACACTATTTTCCTGATGATTTCTGGATCCATAGTACATCCTAACAATTCCAACAAGGTATTTTGAAGAACTTGACAAGCTGATTCTAAAATGTGAAATCCACAGCATCTATAATAGCCAAAGCAAAAGTTGATGGATTTAACACTCTAATTTCATTATAATTACTTTATAATGTTACCGTAAAGAAGACAGTGTAGTGTTAACATAAAGATAAGTAAATACACCAGTGGAACAGAGTGCACACAATTTGAAGTGATTGTCAACTAGAGTCAAGAAAATACAGTGAGAAAAGGAAAAACTTCAGCAATGCTATTCTAACACCAAAAATCCAAATGGAAAACAGTGAACCTAATATCTCACTCCTGTACAGACATTTTGAGTTGCGTCACAGACCTTCAGGAAAGAGCCAAAACCATAATGGTTCCAGGTGAAAAGCTAGTAAGCTATCTACATTTGAGAAGACTTTTCTTAGGAACATCAAAGGGAAAAATTACAAAAAGGGCTTTTTCAAATTTAAGATTTCTGTTTATCAAAAGATGCCCTTAAGAATTTGAATAGGCAAACTACAGACTTGTTTGTGTACAGTATGAGTATTTTACAAGGAACTGATGTACAGAATATATGAAGAATTTTAACAAAATAATGGATCATCCAATTTACTAAAGTGAGAAGAGACAAGCATATTTCACAAAAGAAAATACGGTTATACAAGTTGCTCATGAAAGCATCAGAATATTAGCCATCTTGAGATGCCACTATACACTCATTAGTTTGACTGTAGTACAAAAATAGTGACAGCAGCAGATGCTGATGAGAACAGGAGAAACTGGAATTCTTGCCTTGAGGGTGAATCAATTTGGAGAAAGGTTTGGTAGATTCCGATACCTACTTGGTGATCCTGAAGAGTCTTCACAGAAGTTTACCAACAAAATAAAAACATTCACCAGAAGACTATGAATCTTACCAGCAAGAATCTTGCCAGCAGTCTTTCTCATAGAGTCCAAGTAAAACTAATTTTAGAAAGACCATCAATAAGAAAATGAATAAACATATTGAGGTTCATTAAATGCAAATGGATAACTACTTGTCAGTAAGAAAACAAATGACAGGCATGGACAAGATATATGGATCACAAAACTATTAAGAAAGCTGCAAAGACATGCTATATAATTCTATTAGAAGCACAAGAACAGGCAAAACTATGGCAATACAAGCCAGAAAGTTAATGGGGGAACAAATGGAAAGAGGCTGAGGGACTGTTAGGTATTGAGTTGTGTTCCCCTCTACCTATTTATATATTGAAGTGCTAACTCCCACTACTTCAGAATATGACTGTATTTGGAGATACTATCCTTAAAGAGGTAATTAAGTTAAAATAAGATGAATTGGTATGACTGATGCACTTGTCTGGAGAGGATATTTGGACATACCCATATACAGAGGGAAGACCACATGATGGGATGAGGGAAGATGGTCATTTATAAGCTGAGAGAGGCCCCAAGAAATAACCCTGACAACATCTTAGGCTTGGAATTCTTCAAAACTGAAAACATAAATTTATTTAAACTACCAGTCTGTTTCTTTGTTATGGCATCATTAACTGACAAATACAAAGATCTTACTGAGGATGATGTGAACATTCTCCATTTTGAAGTAGACAACAAATACATATATACAATTGACAAATCATACTGAACATTTAAGATCTATACTAATTTTAGTTCAATTAAAGAAAAAAGTAAGACAACTAGTTTGATGGTTTTGGTAGAAATTGGCAAGATAGATCAATGTAAATAACCTATTTTTTGAAACGAAAGCATAAATAAAATGACTATGAAAGAAAAATCCAAACAGCAGAAAGTTAACAAGAGACTTGTATAAACTTACAGAAATTGATATAGTGTACAAAATGACCAGTTGCAGGCAATGTAATTAGAATTGAGCTAATTTGTGGTTGAAAAATTAAACCAATTTTCATAGAATAGCAAACTGCAACATTTTATAGAAATTATTTTTGATAGAAAAACAAAATAACCAAGATTTTGTATAGAGATTAACATAGAAACTTACACTATATTCATTTGCTAAGATTTTCATAACAAAATAACCACATATGGGGGAGCTTAAATATAAAAAATGTATTTTCTTTTGATTCTGGAATGTCAGCAGGTTTGGGTTTTCTGAAGCATCTATCCTTGCCTTGGAGATGAGTATCTTCTTGATGTGTCTTCTTACATACATGTTTCCTTCATATGCATATGCTAAAATGCCTTAGTGTATACACACTTTCTTATAAAGACAGCAGTCAGATATTTTAGGGCCCACACTAATGGCCTCATTTTAACTAAGTCACTTGTTAAAGGTCTTCAAAAAGTCACATTCTGAGGAATTGGGGATTAAAATTCAACATATGATGAATTTCAAGGGTATACAATTCAGCATATAACACTTTACCCTTTTCTTGGGCCACCAAAATTCAAAGAGAATACTCAAAAAGGCCAGTCAATGTGATATGAGAACCCAGAAAAGCTATTTGAAGAGAGAACAAAATTCAGGGAAAAAATAAGGTCAGGAATAATGAACTGAAGGTAAAAATAGAAGCTTTAAATGACAAAAGTTTCAGCATGTAAGTAGTTGAATAAATGAGATCAAGCACTTAAGGAAAAGCTATAGAAGTGTAATAGAACAGAGAAACAAATTGAAGATTGCAACACATAAAGGACCTTGATGGAAGATGAAAAATTAAGGAAGAAGCACTTTGAGAAATACCTGACTCCAGTAGGAAAGACAGCATAAAGATAATTGACATCCAAAAAAGTAGAAGGAGCACATGTGTTGTGGGAATAATAGAGGGAGAATTCCGAATCTGGGGAAGGAACTAAATATAAAAGTCCATGAAACCAAAAGAACATCTGGTTATCTAAATGCACACACAGTAGTGAGACTACCAAGAGTTCAAGACAGAATGTGAAAGGTGGCTAGGTTAAAAAAAAAAGTCTTAATAGGGCCCTCCCCCTGCTGGCGCAGGGGGTTAAAAGCACAGCACAAAGAAGCTTAAGCCACTTCCACAGGAATTCGATCTCCGCCTGCCCCAGTGGAGATCCACATGGCGAGGCAGACCTCTCCTGACCCGCCCGCTGCTCCCCTCAGCAGTGTACTTC